TTGGATATCGGCTAAGGTGATCCTAACATTTTTTTGTTTGGCTAAAGCAATTATATCGTTTATAACTTAGTAAGAATTGATGGCAAACTGCATTGGGTTCAACTTATAGTAATGACTGATCTCGCGAAAAAAGATGTTGAGTGGGAGCCGAAGTTCGCACTCGATAAAAGCGACAACATGAAGGGGAATGGAATCAGTAGTAGGCATAATGGAATCGTCATCCCCAGCCAACCTCAGATAGACGTCGGCAGGGATGTCAAACTCACGCCTAAAGTGATCTAATTTGCTCGGGGTATCTACTCTATATTTCCACATACCCATAATATCGGCTTAAAACTGAAGGGGTTGGATTTCAGAAGGGGTGTTTCTAAAGGGTTTTATGGACCTCGGCTACAGCTAGAAGATGCACAAAATTTGTGGAAATAGTTTCAGTTTTTCTTAATAATCGTGGGTTCTACAAGCAAATTCCAAACCTAGATCTATGGAAACGAAGATTGAAGGCACGAAATCTGGAAAACAAAAAAGCAAGAATGTGCTTCAGAATCAACAACAGAGATGGACTATCAAGACACATTGTAAATACTAAGGGTATGAGGCCAAGAACAGTGCAGAAAAGTTGTGAATAAGTGTGAATATTCAAGACATGGGCAAGGAACAAAATCGTGAACTGAATATGCTCAGATACAAGATTCATAAGTCAAAAACTTGAGTAAAACAGCAATGACGACTAATAATGAAGTAGAATTTCTTGAAAAGTAACAAGAAATAAGAACTAGGAGGAACAGTGGCTTACCAGAAAGAGGGAAGCCGGAAAGGGATTTGCCGAAGTTTGACAATGGTTGCAGAGGCGGAAGATCGGTGGAAGTCACGCCGGAGGTGGTAAACGAAGCAAGTTACAGAGCTAAGAAAGCTTGAGCAATGGCGGATCTGAGGAAAAAAAGCTAGAGAGAGAGAGAGAACTTCAAAAACGATGAAAAATAAAAAGACGGGGGGAAATAAAGAAGTTTTGATAAAACAGAAACGACAGCAAAAGGGTCATAAATGTGCCTAGAAGAACGTATGCGCCAGACGTCGCACGTGAATGATTCGACTTACAGATGCGTATCAGGTACGATCCAGTAAGAAAAAGACGCGTGGCTAAAAAACGGTTGAGTTGTTATGCATGACAGCTCATGCGCGTGAAGAAGTTCTTGGAGATCTTGATCTTTAAGAAGACATGTCGGCCAAATAGTGATGAGCTCGGCTTAAGCCGACGTACTGGCAGGAAGTACCAATATAGGTTCCATTACCTCAGAATGCTGAGCTAATAGAACCTAGGGTGGGGATATATTTTCTGAGTCCCAACACGTGGCCAAGGTGACGCCGACGTGTCAGCCGAGGTGCCACGTGTCCAGGTTATGACGCCGAGATTATCTCGGTTAGGCCGAGGTTATCTCCGAAGATATCGGAATCCGAGATAAGCGGATAAGGGATAAGAGTCCTAGAATGAGGAAGGACTTCAGCCTGGATAAGGATAACACTCTTAGGGAGTTTATCTTTATCTCTTGGAGAGTCCTAAGAGTTTATCTTTATCTCTTGGAGAGTTCAGGATAAGCACTGAGCAAGAGTCCATTGATGGGACAAGGATTGAGTTAACTATAAAAGAGAGGCACCCCATGGGTCTAAGGTACACAATTTATATTCTGAGCAGTGAGTTTAGCACTATTGATTATCTTTGAGAGATATACTGACTTGATCATCGGAGTGCCCTGAGTGGACGAACCACCGTCGGAATCTTCTCTTCCTGTTGCAGGTCAGCAAGGTGTCATTTATTCTGTCAGTATTCTCCAGCTGAATACTGAGTTGGACAGTGTGATTGAAAAATCACTCACATGCCCACTTATATTCAAGAAATGGAACAATGGAATTAATTAGGGTAGTTTATGTATTTGATTTTTCCGTCAGATTTTGGTAATCTGTAAATCGTAAAAGTAGTAACTGAGTGGAATAATCTTGCAGTTGCAGTGGTGTTATCAAATGAAAAAAGACTGAGCCAAAAAAAAAAAGAAAAAAATAATGGATAGACGAGGCAGCAAAAAAAAATTAGAATGATAGAGGATAGATGGGACGGGAGAGAGAGAGAGAGGACAACAAAGTACGGAGATAATAAGTAGCAAAACCAAGAGGCGTATCTGTGAACCGTTGCCAACGTTTAGCCATATCTGGAAACTGTTGATAACGTTCCAATTGCGAGGTGGACCCAAGTTTGTATGTAATTTCATCAACTTCATAAGATATTTGTGAAACAATAAAATGTATGAAACACTTGGCCCCGTTTTGGGGTGAAGCTTTTTGACTAGTATACAAAGTCTTGTTGGTCAGGTTATTTGAGTAATTTTTTAATTTTTTAATTAAAATATAAGATAAAAAAAGTTGATGTATTTGAAATAATTTTTTAATTTTTTAAGAAAGATGTGTAAAAAGTAAAGAGAAAATAGAATTTTTGATTTTTTAATATAGGTTATTGGCTAGAGAGAAAAGTAAATTCTTGACTTTTTAGTATAAGTTGTTGCCTTTTTTATTTTTTAGTGACTTTTTAACTTTCAAGCTAAAATAGTTGCATACTAAACGAGGCCTCATCACATTATTTTATTTATTTTTGTAGAGTAATATTAGAGATTCTAAAAGTTCTATCAAAATTTCTACTAAATGTTTCACATGAGTGTGGCACACTCATATAAGACGTTTGGTAAAAATTTTAGTACAACTTTTGAGATTTCTAATATTTATTATTACAATATATCACAATATGAGGTGATTGTGAGGTGTATATATATATATATGTAGGTGTCTACATTTTAGAAAATATTATGGTGTCATTAAGAGTGTATATTATATACATATTACATAAAATATGTAATTTTTGTATAAAATTTTTAATCTCGTCATAAATTGCTGTAATAAAAAAATGTCATCCACTGCTGGAAAATCTACTTTTAATCTCGTCATAAATTGATGTAACATTAATCACAAATTTTTATAATATTAATCACAAAATTTTAAATATTTTGTTACATCCACTGCTGGAAAAATCTACTTTTAGCAGCGTTTAAAAAACGCCGCTAAAAACACTAAAAGCGTCGCTAATTTTTTTTGTGACGTTTAGTATCAAACGCCGACGACGCAGCCATCGCTATAACTTTATGGCGTTTGAAAAACGTCGTTATATTAGAATAGGTGACGTTTTTAAAAATGCTGCCAAATGTCCTACCTAGCTGTATTATGACGTCACTATGGACATTTTTAAAAACGTCATCATAGACATTTATACATTTTAAAATCTAGCCGTTAGAGTGGGATATAGTGACGTTTTTTAAACGCCGCCACAGCCTTTTTTTTTTAATTTTTAAATTGTGCTAATTTAATATGATTGAACAAAAAAAATACCTGTCAAACAATTATCAAGAACTAATAATTGATGTTTATTAAAATAATAAATAAACTAAGCTTGAAAACAAAATTAAAAATAAAAAAACAATGCATTGCATACCTAAGAATAGAAATAATTCAGATTTTAAATACATCAATTAAAATCAAAATGGTCAAGAAGTGTAATTTCCCCAAAAAAATTAAAAAGGAATAGAAAGCACACTAATATGGATCTGTTGGAGAGATTGTTTTGTTGTTTGGTTCTTTGTTAAGAATCTTATACTTTGCACATGAAAGAGAATGGAGCAGCCTAACAACATCATCATCTGTCAAGTTTAATTGAGTCATGATTTCTTGATAACTCAATCTGCTTGAGGCATTAAAAAGCAGCAGCACAGAAGCCTGTATTGATGAAATGCTAAAGCTCAAACCTTTGCGTTAAGAATCATAAATCCATGCATTAGATTAAAATAAGTTTCTTCAACAAAATACCTGGTAGGTTGTCACAATGAGCTCCATAGTTTTGGGTTCAAATTTTTCATTGAGGTTACAAGTACCCAATGAATAAATCCATGTAAGTTTTCTGTGTTTTGTTTTTGTTTGGTAGAATTCTCTGAAAACTTCCACACACTTAACCAAGAGCAGAAGTGAATAAATAGAATGACGTCAGTGGGAATGTGCTGCAACCAGTCACTGATAAAGCTCTATGCCAGCCATTTGGGTTGGATGCAAGTTTACCACTAATATGTATCAAAGACAAGCTATATCATAAGCTTTCTAAGTTTTAGTTCTAGTAGTCACATATGGTAATAAGCAGAAGAGTAACAGTATGCACCGATATCCTTTTGATGAAGAAATTATGGTTGGCGATACCTTGGGCAGTAGAAAACATGAAATGTGCTCTTGGTGGATACAGCATTGCCCACGAGAGAAAGAAGGCTTTGATAATTTTGGTTACCGAGAACTGAATCAAGAAGACCATTTCTTGGTCGAATAGCGCATAAGAGAGATTACAGACAGTTCAAGTATGGACAGCACCACCTGCACTTGTTAAAAGATAAAAAAAAATGTTATTAATGCAAGAACACATTAATTATGTAGAAACAATAAATAATAAAATGAAGTAGTTGTTTTACCACCGACAAACTATTCATTATTACTTACAGCCTTCTTAGATGCATTAACAATGTAGCTATATAATTAGAAAAGCCTAATAATGTATTTAGCGAACTAATAAAATAAATTCTCAACATTTTGCATGATAGGGACCTGAAATCATTGTGTGAGAATTTTGGATTCTATGATTCTGAATGGGACAACAACTAACTACTAAGTAATATATATTCAAATGAAAGCTCTCTGTTAGATTATTACTAGGTAGATCAATGCATGATAGGGACCTAGGATTCTAGGACTCTCTTTGCTACTGTTTACTATTGAATGAATTAAAGAGGCCTAAAAAAAACAGGGGCAAAAAAAAAAAACAAGGGCTGGGCTGAAGTCACCTTCTTGTTGCTGCGAAAAACAGATGAAATCAACTTCGACAAAATGGAGGAAATCAATTTCGAGTGGCTCTTCTTGCTGCACTGAAAAAAAGAAGAAAAAAAAATGTAAAAAACCAAGAAGAATCAAAGAAGAAATGAAGAATAAAAACGATGAAGAAGAAGAATCGAACAAAGGACATTCACTGGAGTTTACTCAATGTGTAGCATTTTGGGCTTCGTTGTAAGAGTAACTAGGTTAGGTTTGTTATTTTGAAGTGTGTGTTTGAAGATTGGCTTGTGCAAGTTGTTCCATTACACAAAGGCAAAACTGCAAATGCGCCTGAAAGATTGAAAAATTAAAAGGTTAATTTGAAATTCTAAATTTGCTTCCCTCCTAACAGAAGAGTTTCAAGCTGTCAACTTTATGGTAAATATGATGGAGAATAAAAGGGAAAAACTTATCGACAACCTTTGGAAAACAAAACTTGATTATAGCAATCAATCAATGTGAAGATCATGAAACCGAAATGGCAAAATCTGCAGAACAGTTGCAGCTTATATGACTCCTCGAAAAATTGCAAACCTTCCAGTGATCAAATAAATAGATATAATCATATAGATATTAAAAAATAATAATAATAATATCTGTCTCCGTTATTAAAACCGATACTTAAAACATTCCCCAAAATCAGAAATAGTAACCATTGGGAAAGAGGCTAGTGCTAAAATATACCTCACGAATGGTCATAAGGCTTGGCTTGTCTCCCACTGGTGGAGTTTGATTGCACACAACATGGCAAATAGGCAACCTGGAAGATGTACCCTCACACAAAATACGGCTCCAACCAGCAACGATGTCCATCCATGCCCCCCATGTTTTTCCAGTGGACGAGAATATGGATCAAAATAGAAGTAAGCTATTGGAATGCCTAAGCAATTTTTGACACAGTAAAATCTGACAGCGAGAAATAACCACTGGCAATATCAAAGAGCATCTTTGAGAGGTTGAAAAAACCATCTATAACCACTAGCAGTGAGAAATAAGTACGTAATTCTTCCTGTAGAAATGAGATGCAGCAGGAAAGGAAATTAGACTTCTCCACACAAAAGTATATCCACAGAGGTAAAAATTTTAAAAATTAAAAAAAAAAACAAACAAACAAACAAAAGAAAAGAAAAAGAGAGAGAAAATAAAAATTAAAAAAAAGTAATTGTCAATGCTTGACACATATTGCTTATGCTGTCAGCATTTTTGTAGGCAAAACTTTCTTTTCTGGTCATGAACAATTCCATAACTAGAGCATCAACCAGAGAGCATCCACGATATCTATATGATTGATCGCTATAATCAGGTGAGTGCAGAAAGATTCTACACTAATAAACCTCTATAATGGATACATACGCCATTAGGACAGAAAAAGTTAACACATTAACCAATTTCATTCTTAAAAAACCAAGCAATTGAGATTATGAACTGATAAAATGGTTTTTGGTGTTTCAATAAAGCTTTTTGTAATTATTCATAAAAGCCCAAAAAGGGTACTGGTTCTTCAATTATAAAACGGTGCCGTTTTGGTTAAATAATATGCGGCGGTTATAAAAACGCCGTTAAAAATTAAGAAAAGTGATGCTAACACTAATTGGAAAATTTGTGGGTTTGGTATGGGAATTGGAAAATTTGATATTCACCTCTGTGAGTCCTACCATACTTAATTTCTGGGTGAGTGAAACAAGCTGCTGGAATGCTCAAATGGTTGAGCATGTGGTCTTTTACACTGACTTGTTCAACAACTATATGAAGAGAGCAACGCTAAATGTGCAATAGGTGTAAAATGTAAAGCATATAGCCGGAAGTAGCAAATAGCAAGGTAATAACCACATACCAGAAAATTGTGTTCATGACGGAATGTATAGATAACAAACCATACAGAAAATTGTGTTTATTTGAAAGAAACGTGATTTGCATATGTTTTCCAAATGCAAGAGAGACACTGTAAGTTTCACTTGTAGAGCAACCTAGTGAGGCTCCAGAAAAACACTAGATAATGGACATTAAAATAGTCTTGCTCTTTGGTAAAGTAACAGTTCGAAGATGAAATGATGAATCAATCACTAAGACTTTCACAACTTGTGTCGTGAATAACAGTAACATAAAGTCAAAAATTAATAAATAAATTTTAAAAAACTCAGAAAGCATATCATCAACAGCATTCAGTAAAGACAGTTTAATAACATTATTGGCACATGAATGATACAAAAGTAACTGAGAAATTGTTGCAAAAAAATTATAAGACAAATGTAAAAACCACAAGAAAGCTAATAGAGTTAACATGAGGATGACAGTAAGATAGACCTGTGCATGAGTGATGTAGAACTTTAGCTAGTTCATTTCACTGGCGATTCTCTCCAAAAGCATGCTTTGGGCCTCCCTGGGATTTGTTCCATTTTCAGTGTGTTGAAAAGAGATTCCATTGCTTAAATGATCCTTTTCTGCAGAATTTAGATCTCAATTGGACAAATCAGCAAGCATACTAGGCAGCTCCTTTATCAGTTTCTCAACCTGCATTTCAAAAAATCAAATGAAGATATTAAAAAGTGACCATGAGTCATTGCAATAAACCAACAGAATCCCACAGTTGGTGGAACAAAGCCTAAAGGTAGCAAATGCAAATGAAAGCATGTTTTCGTTTAAAGTATCCAATTTATACAGGGTTGCACCCCCTTTGGCTCCTTCTAATAAATTTTCTAACTTTTAGAAGGAAAAAAAAATAAAAAAAAATAGAGAGAGAAGGCTCTTCTGATTTTTAAGAAACTGTAGGTTGAACCAAAAAGAAATAAAAATTAAAAGAAGAAAACTCGAATTACAAATATCAGATATCTCATTTGTAATTAGGAAACTAGTAACTAAAACCTTCAACTCAACTTGGCCTATCACAATTAATTGGCTTTGTTGTATTAAGTTTCTCAACTATCATACAAAAACCATAGTAAGATTAAGAATTTCATTTGTCCACAGTGAAAGCAATGCCAAGGGACCAGAATCAATGTGGTTAAGATAGCACGAAAAGACATTTCAGCATATGGTTTAACTTAATATACAAATATTGGGAACAAGGATTTGTTAAATTGATTGTAAGTTTAGAATTATTTTCTTGGACCTTTGAACAAGCAAACAAATGCAATATTTATGGCAATATCCGGTAACATAACTACAATAGCGATGACTCAGAGGAGAAGAAAAGGCAAAAGTGAACCTGCAAGAGAGTCCAAGCATGCTGTAGTAACAGGGCAACCTTCCATGTTCAATAGAGAGAGCTTGTGCAAACCTGCAATGCACACAGATACCAAATATTTCAGTGGAAAAGTTACAAAATTTGCCATACCAAGAAGAAAATGAAACCAAAACTGACCACGACAAGTTCCTAAAGGAAGCATTATCAAATCTCAAACAAATATTTTTGAATGAGAAATTTCGAATCTTAAATATACATTTTTGAATGAGAAATCTCAGATCTGAAACATATGTTTTTGAAAAAGAAATTTCAAATCTCAAACATATTTTTGAATGAGAAATCTCAGATTTGAAACTTATGTTATTGAATAAGAAATTTCGATAACATACATTGGTGCTTCAAACTTCAAATCTTACCTTCTTGAGGGGGAAAAAGAGATGATCTAGTCTCAATAACTGTAGCTGGGTTTAGATGTAGCGGTATAGACGATATTGCCATCAAGGAACAAGAAGAACCCCCAAAACACAACAATCTAGGGCTTCCTTCACTGTTCGAACTCAGATCTCACAACATAGTCAAGCAAGAAAAGAGTTGATCCAAACCCTAGGAGAAGAATCGACGAAAGGAAGAGCTTGAGAGAGAGAGAGAGAGGATACGAAACTGAGATTGTAGACGGTGGCGCTCACCTTTGTAGACGATGCAGATGGTGGTGGCAGTGGAGCTTTGAAATCGTGACAGAGAACTTCGAAATCGAAATCACCAGCTGAAGAAGGTTGAATCGTAATATCTGAGACCGAAGGGTTTTAGAGAGAAAGAGAGAGTGAGCGAGTGAATGAGAGATTTGAGGGATCGATAATGAAGTTTTGAAGAAAGAGAGAGGTTCTAATTCTCACAGAGCTGTGAGAGAGAGAGTGAGAGCGGGATAACATGGTGAGACATTTGAAGGCGTTTAAAAACGATGTATTGGTAAACGGTACCGTTTTAATTAAATCAAAACGCGACGTTTATAAAACGTCGCTAAATATTAGAAAAAGTGACGTTTAAAAAAACGCCGTTAAATCCCATTTTTCTTGTAGTGTTAATAACGTTTTTCTATGACGAATTTTATAAATTGCCCTGAAAGTTAAAAATTAGTGACTTTTATGATAATTTTTTTAAACTGTCACTAAAACTTATAATTAATAACTTTTTTGTGACAGTTTTCAAAATGTCGTTGAAAATTAATAATTAGTGGCGTTTTTTAATAGTGTTTGATGAAGAACGTCATTAATTCTCACAATACCTATTGAACAATAAGTCCACCTATTAGAACCAACACATAAGTCTTCATTTTGTCTTATGTTTTCTCCTTTTGGCTTAAAACAATAATATTGCACTCATCATATTTTTATATCACATTTTGTATATTACTAGTGTATGCACGGTGTAAATAATGTTGGATCAAAATGCAGTTATAATTTAAATGTATCATGTTGAAATTTGAATTTCTCTGGAACGATAAAACTCTGATTTTATCAATTTGTCATTGGTTTTGCTGCTGCTGATTCAATCACAATTTCCTGCACAAACAAATTAATAGTTCTTCTATGAGTTTGTGATAGATTTTCTTTAAATTTAATGGTATGAATTTCTCTGGTTTGAATCCAGAGAAAATTCAAATTTCTCTGGTCCAGAATTTCTCTGGAATGATAAAACTCTGATTTGGTCAATTTGTCATTGGTTTTGCTGCTGCTGATTCAATCACAATTTCCTGTACAAACAAATTAATAGTTCTTCTATGAGTTTGTGATAGATTTTCTTTAAACTTAATGGTATGAATTTCTCTGGGTTGAATCCAGAGAAAATTCAAATTTCTCTGGATCACTTTAAGCCTTCCTCTACTGCTGCCTCTTCCTCAATCTTCTTTTTCCAATATTCTTCAAGTAGGGGTCCAAATATTGCTTTTCCAGAAACAACTACAATTCTATTAAACCCAAAAAATCAAAAGACGTTATATTCAACACTCAGAGAAATTTTGAACCTGAAGATGTTATATTCAACACTGGATATATATATATATATATATATATGAATATATCATATATATATATATATATGTTTGCAACCATAGATAAGATAACTAAGAGTGACTGTTTGATTATGGTTGCAAATGGGCTTAATTGATTAATTATCATATATATACTAGTCAAGACAATAAGTAACAGATTGTATATATATATGTATGTATCATATATATATATATATACATCTATCAACTCCACTCCACTCTGTTTGTTTATCCAGAAAATCAAATTTGCCAAACTTAGTGCTTTTGTTTTGCTGAATTTGTTTTCGTACTTGCCGGAAAATACCCAACACCAGTACCAGCATCACAAAGGAGAATATCCAGTAGACAGGTCAAAAAAATCAACTCATCTAAAGATGAACAGACGTAGGGTATTTTGGTCCAAGAAATTGATAAAATGCGCGGGTATTTTGGTTAGGGACCTGAGGCAGTATTACATTTTTTAATGTCCTTTATGCAAAAAATTGTTATTATTAGGGAGCTTAAAAAAAAACCCCCTATTTTTAATGAGTAGTGCGAGGATTAAAAAATAATTATCAAAAAAAATATTAAATGTGAGTGCTTAACAATTCATTTAATAAAAAATTTGAAATCTATAACATTATACATTATATTTGGTTTGATTTGATATTTTGAAAATTGAGTTTTTATATTTTTTTGTTTTTAGTAATTTTTTTAATCTTTTATGTAAGTTTTTTATTTTTTGAAAACACCTAATTTAGATACACTTAAAAGATATAATATTTGTGAAAAAATATCATAAAAAATTCATCAAATATAAAAAAAATACAAAATAAAATAAAAATTCAATATATTTTTGAATTTTGTTATATTCAATAATTTTTTTTAAAAAAAAATTGTACAAATTTATCAAGATTAATGGATCTAAAAAGTAAAAAAATAATAATTAAAATATTTAAAAAAAAATTATAAAAATATAAGAATACGAATTAAAATTTTAAAAATCTATTTTGAAAATTTCAAACCAAGTGATTGATTTTTAATTTTTAGTTGGTTTGATATGTGTGTTGTATCCACTCTCTATTTACGAATTTGTAGTGGCACAGCTGTTTAGGGATTAAAGCCATTAGGAAGTAAAGCACTTTTAATGATAAATTATGGGTTTGCTTTTTCATTTTTTTTTTTTTTTGCTTTTTTTGTTTTTTTTTTAAATAATGTTTTTGGTAAGTGTTTATTTAGAAATGTTTTTGCTTTTTTGGAAATTGAGAATATATGATGTCCCATCATAAGTTTGCGTAGGAAAATTCTTATTTTATTCTCACGCCTTGGGATAATTCGTAAGTTTTACAGTCATTTTGTATTTTTGACTATTTTCTTATTTCGTAACTTTCCAAACATATTTTGTATAATTTACTTCATCCTTTTTGGCTTTTGGCCTTTTCTGAAAAATAAGTAAATAAGTTGCTTATTTAATACTATATATTTTTAACTTTTCTCTCTTGAGAAGAGAGATAGTTTTTTAATTATAGAGTGGTTAAACCCTTCCTAATGTATACAAATAAAAGTACAGTTCTTTAAATAGGGAAGTTGTTGAAGAAGAATTTTTTTGTGTATTTAAAGTATGAAAAAATAAAAATAATAAGATGTTTGAGATGCTCTTATATAATAAGTACTTTATATAATTTTATAAATTTAATTTTAATTAATTAATTTTATTATATTAGAATATAAATAAATATAATTTATCTTACATATGTATCCTAATGCTACTACTCTATACTCTCCCTATATAATTGGATTGTTTACACAAGACTCTTTAAACTATTGGGAAATATCATTTTGACTACGTAAATTATAAAAGTGTATACATAGACTCCCTAAACTATTGAGAATCACTGTCTCATAAATTATAAAAGAGTATAAATCGGCCCCCTAAATTAAAAAAAGAAAAAAAAATGTACAAATTTTTGGCCCCTAATGTAAGGAGTCCAAGTAAAACAAACCGATAGTCACTACAAAAAAATTAAGGTTTTGGGGACCAAAATTTAGGGACAAAATTATTTTTTAGAGATCAAATATTTTTGTTGCAAAAAATGCCGTCATTATATTTTTAGCAACGAAAATTAGACATTAGTGATGAATTATTATTTATTTGGGACCAAATTTTGTCTCAAAAAATAAACCATTTTGAAACCAAATTATTTTGTCTCTAAAAGTCTATTTATTAGTGACATTTTCAAAATTTTGTCGCTAAAAATCTTATGTTTTACTTTTCAGGAAAACCTTTTAGTGACTATCCTCACGATGATAGAAATTGGTCCCTTTAAATGTCTTTTGCAACAAAATTTCCACTTTTAGAAATCAAAACATTTGGTCTTTAAAACTCTTATATGTTGTAGTGAGTTTAAGAGTCTATTTGTACACTTTTATAATTTAAGAAAAAAATGATATTTTTTAATAGTTTAGGAGATCTATTTATATGCTTTCATAGTTAGGGAATGATATTTTTTAATAATTTAGAGGGTCTGTATGTAAATAATTATATATAAGGTTGAGAAGCTAGCTATTATAAAATGCAAAGAAATGATTAAGCTATAAGAATAATTATTTGGTGATTTTAGAGTATTGTTTTATACTATTTATTACTTGACACTTTTTAAATTGTCACTCAAAAAATCAACAAAAAATATTGAATTATACTATTTTAACCAAAAAGCACCGCATGTATTTGTTCTAAGAACAAATAATTTTTTTTGTTAGTGGGGGCCTAAATTGGAAATGGGTCATCCGAGGAGGAAAAGTTATTCGATGGATCTAGAATTTCACATTAGCAGTTTGACCATCGAAAACAATATATGGAGGAAAAAGGTTATAATACATAGAGATTTTTAAAACTTTGTTATGTGTTATTAATTTAAAAAATAATTACCGCATTTTAAAAAAAGGAAAAAAAAAAAAAAAAAAAAAAAAAAACTTGAATGCATGGTGACACTTCGCCATTGATATCACCATCTGATTATCTTTTGGCTTTTACTTTTTATATATATATATGTGACAAGATAATTATATTAAAGAATGGGATAGACCCTATGTAATTTTATTATGTATTAATAAAGTCACATCATTAATATTACTATTATATTAAATTTTTATTCTTTTTAAATTTTATTAATTGAACACAAACCATTTTAATAAGATGCGTTTGAACACACTAGTTCAGCATATGATACGTAACGGGGTGTTAAAATGGTCTGTGGCCTATAAGGTAGCCCGAAACTCGCTCGTGGCCCAGGGTGAGTCTGGCTCGGTTAGGTCCAGGTCCGAGCCTAGCTTGGGATCGTGGGCCTAAGCTTGAGCCGTCATTTTGAAGCCTAACCTGCCTGGCTCAGCCAACTCAAGACTCAGTGTCATTTTTAGTGAAAAAATAGAAAAAAAAATTCAGACCCGCCCAAGGTCGAAATACCTTTTGGGCTTGGGCCTGGGACTAATTTTCTAGCCTATGGATCAGCCCAGCCTAACCCGAATTTTGACGAGAGCTCGCATAGCTTGACATGGACCAACCCTGGCCCAGGGTAGGACGGACCAGGCCAAATTTACACCCTTAGATATATTGGTATTTGATCTATTTTATCTATTGAACAATTGGACACACTATTATTGACTCTTCTTTTTGTCTCATTACGCGATGTCGTTAATGACTCAATTGTCTCTTTGGGTCCAACAATAGTACTTGAAAAATCTAGATTTAGTATGGAAAATTCTTTTGTAAAATTTAAATGCATCCCGTTTAACGTGATTATTTCAAAAAAGATCAAGATTCATTTTTGA